CGCTGCTGCGCGCCCTTTCCACGGCCACCTGCTGGGGTCTGAGATCGGCCCCCCGTCTTTCGACCACCGCCTTTCGGTTTCTCAGACCGCCCTCGAGGACGTGAGTTCTGAGCTGGGGCAGCGTTCGGGTTTGCCCCCGCACCCGGCTGGGCCGGGGCGGCAGCTTTGGGCCTCTCATGATTAAACGGGCAACCCTGACCTGCACGCGGGCAGGTCTGTCCCTTGCGGATGAATGTGCACGTTGTTTCGCCCTTTGTCGCTCCATTCTTCATGGCGTCGGTGGATTTCCCGAGACGCGCTGCTACCTCGGCCGCAGCGGCTTTGCTGGTGAGGCCTCGGCGGTCCTCGTTGCCGTTGCCGCCGCCGCCGCCCAAGCGCTGCTGACGAGCACGTTGGTTCAAAGTACCCTCATGCAGATCGATGTTCCATTCTTCCTTCTCACGCAAAATCACCATTTCAATCTGAGCTATGAGCCATTCGTAAGTACGCATGCCCGTCCCTGGCTTGTCTGAAGACAGATCATAAAACTGGCAAATCATGCTCAACTTCTTCGGCTTCCTGCATTGCTCAAGGAAGTGGGCATGGATCGAAGCTCGCATCTCGCCGGACGGAGGTCGCACGCCGTAAAGCTGCTGATGCACGTCTGTCCATTCGTTATAGAAATGGTACATATCAAAGTCAGGGCGATCGGGGTCAATGGCGACCTTGAAGATATCACGCGAAATACGATGCTGACCGAGCTCCGATCTAACTGAGCACCAATAGCATATGGCCCGTACCATTTCGCGCCCTGTCAGAAGTCTCTTTTCATTCTGGGCAGCGAACTCCACACGCTGAATCTGGTGGAGGAAGTGATTGTGATGAACGGACAGGTTGCGATTTCTGCGCATCTTCGTAAACTTCTCAATCAAGGTAGTTGCAATCATGATGTCAAGACGCTGGAAGCGGCCCGGGTTTCGAAGTTGTTCTTTGGGCACGGTGGGGCCCATGGCTTCCATAATCCAAAGCTGTGCCTCCTGGATCTCAGGGTGCGATCCAGCCACAGCACGGATGGTATGCATCTGCCACTCCCGTATGTTTGTAACATCGGGAATGTCCATTAGGTCAACCTTTTGATTGTCGCCAACCTGTCTCCATTGGTCCAGTGGGGTACTCTCGTCAGGGCCGCCTGGGCCATTGGGCCCACCTGGCCCCTGGGGCCCACCAGGACCGCCTCCGCCGCCTGGAAATCCAAGACCCCCTGGACCCCCTTGAGGCGGCTTCCCTGACTGGTCTTGGGCGGCATGGGCGACTGCGCACAAGAAGTCGGCACTTGGAGCGGTACTTTTATCGTCCTCATCATTGCTCTGCCCCGCGCCACCGGGCGGCGTGGGCGCCGGCGCGCTACCGTTGCCCCCGCCCGGCGGCCGGGCCGCCGGTGGCCTCGCTGTTATGAAAGGCATGTCCTGCTACAGGAAGGAGAGAGCGAAAACAGGCAAAGCAGCTGCACGGATAGGTTGTAGGGTACCTTCCAAAGTACCCACCAGAAAATAGCAAAGTACCAGCGCCAAAAAAAGTGGGTGCCAAAGTACCCCTGCTGTTTTCCAACGGTTAGTCGCTAATAATGGCGCACTACGGTTGGCGAGTAGGACAAAACGCCCATCGACGCCACTTAATGACAACCCCGCCCCAAATCAGATTGGGCGCTCGGCGCCGCATTGTTGAGCGAGCGCGTCTTCGCGCTCAGCCGAGCGGGCGGTCCCCGACGAGCGGGTCGGACACGCTGGAACCAACCAGGCGGGCGACATTGCAATCAGCCGAGCGGGCCGAACCAAACGAGCGCGTCAAGCGCGTTGGGCGAGCGGGCGCGCCATGCGAAGACGGGTGTCGAACGGAGGAACCATTACAAGGCGAACGCCAATGCTTCTGATGCTAATCGCGGCTTCATCGCTGGTGTTTCGGCGCAAGGTGGGCACGCGCAAATACACATATGCCGCGCAAGCGCGATAGTTCACTGCCTGCCGCGATATGCAAACACCCGCATGCCGCAACGAAGTTCCAACAACCTTGTCGGAAGCGCTATCGGTTGCTACTGGGTCGCGCTACTGGGCTCCCTGGGCACCGCCGCTAGAGACCCCGACGACCCCCAAGAGACCTGTAAACACCCACAGAGCAACATCTGGCGCGCAGGGGACACCAACATAACTGGCACAAGAGGGGGGGGGCTGATTGGAGCACACCCCCCACGAAGACCGCTGATTCCTGGCATGGCCAAGGTGATGTCATCACGCTTCCCAAACGAGCCAGACACAACTTAGCATGACGAACCGCGCCGCCGACGCGCCCCAAAGGGACTTAAATATGCGCGAAAAGCAACCTGCACCGACCCCCGCTCACCCACCCCCCTCCAGAACACGAATGCAACATCAATGCAAATATGCATATGCTGTCGCATGCGTTTCCAGCCGCCCTGAACCAGCGGGAAAATGCATCAGAAGGCGCGGGCGGTGGTTGCGCAAAGCGTCGGGCCCACCGCCGCGCAGTCGAACGCAGGGGCGCGCGTGGAGGCCATGTGCGTCTGCATGAAGACTGTTGACATGTATGATGTGACAAACCTGTTTATCTTAGTGGGGGATCAATCACCCTAGGTCGCCTCGCAGAACCAACAATAGTTCGAGGTGGGGTCGTGCCACCAATGCCCCAACACCCAATGTAGTACACTACGCCCGCGCTTTTGGACCACCGACCCTTGGCTAAAGCATTCGAGGATCGTGTCTTCGAAGGCCTCCCCAAGACGGCCCCAGATGCGTTCGAGGCCGCCGATGGCCTACAAGGGGGCCTCAAGAGGCCAAGTGAACTCCCAATGAGACCCAGGAAGGCCTCAAGATGCCCTTGCAAGGAGCTCATGGGGGGGTAACGAACAACAGGTTCGAGCCTGAAGCATCGACGAGACAGCGCTTGGCACCGAGAGGCAGCTCAATCGCGCCAAGCAGCGACAAAGATGTCCCCAACCACTACCCCAAGCATTTGTATCATCCAGTAGCGCGCGCGTGGTTTTATCGTTTGCGGTTCTTCTGTTTTCCAACGCTCGGAAGTGGCTCAAGGGGTTTACGACCACGGGGGCCCCAAAGCACCTCAGGAGAGACCGCACATTGCCCAACGCACCTACACGACAACCCAATAACTACCCCACGCGATTCAGTGAACACCACCGCTGGTAGAACATCAGAGCGCACTGCCTGACAAAAAACACACTCAACGCGCCAAAGGGCATTTGGATAATCCTAACAGACCCCCGGGAACTCCCCCGAAGAGGACATGGAGAAACCCATGCCGGCGATGACCCTGGTGTTTACCAGATGCGCAAGGCCACCTCAGGACGACACTGACAGCCTTCAGCGCGCCTTCAGCGCCACTCCACGACTGCGCAAGACGCAACCCCAAAGATCCATCTAGGATGCCGCCAAGACGGCACGTGATCGACCCAAGACGGCACCTAGATACCCCGCATACAATGCGACCACGAAGTGTTTATTCGAGTTGCAACGGCGCGCCAAGACATCCCTCAGGATGCCCCAAGTGACTCATGAGGCCCAACCTACAACCCAACAACAATCCACAAAGGCGTCGGCGCGTCACCCGTTAAACATCCGAGAGGCGCCCCAAGATCCCAAGCGCCACCCGTAAGGCCTTTGGCCCACAACCCTAGCACGGCGGCGGGCTGCCGCAGGCAGCTCGATTATTTGGACGATGGGCCGCAGAAAGACGACATCTAAGTCACCACATCATTGAACAGCAACGCCGACAATACCCATCGTCCAGCCAAGCCAACTTGCGAGGGCGATGGGGCGGGAGACTGGACTGCGAATAACTGTATGAGGGTGGTGGGTCAAGCTGGATGCATTTGCGATGCAGGGGAGAGGGCTAGGACGGCCATGGCAACAGAAGCAGCGGCATGAGGGCCAGCGGACGAGTGGGCCACACGGGCAGAGGGGCTGTGAGATGCAGAGACGTTTTGTATGGTTTCTGATCGCACCGCCAATCTCGCACGCGCTGATCCCAGCGCTGTCCCTGATGACGTCGGCGCTCCAGCGCCATGTCACCTGCGCTCTCCGCGGACATCTCGGCCCATCTGGCGTGGATAGCATTTGGTCTGTCGCCCGCCCCCTCTCGGAGAGGGAAGTCTCCCACCCCGATGACCTCGCCTTCTGGGATTGGGGGAGGGCCAAAAACGATGGGGAACCCAGTGGGGCCTGGAGAGGGGTTCGGAGAGCCCCCACCATGACTTCCAAGATGGACCAAGGCAGCCCAGGATGGCCAGAAACCTGTTCGGACGATGCCACCAGCAAGAGACACACTACCGCCCCAAGATGGCTTCAGGTGGCGACGCGGGCCCTCCGAGAGCACCACCGAGAAGCCAACGTCAGCTAAACGCATTCGCTACAACGCATGCGACGTGGATTCTCGCCGATCCGCTCACGATTGCGCCCCGAGGCCTCAGGGCAGCTCCAAACTGGCTCAATAGGACAACGCGGACCGCCCATGGGAACCGCATGGGTGCTCCGAGGACGCCCAACGCCACCCGTTGAGTGGGAGAGCGGCGCGTGCCCCAGAGACAAATTACGGACCGCCCCCAAGATAGCCCAAAGAAGGCCCTACGCAACAGCCAATGGCAAGCGCCAGGCAGCCACCACAAGGCCACCAATACGCATCCAAGGTACACTCAAGAGGGCCCGAGAGGATTTCTAGACCACCTAGGGCGCCGCAGATGCAGAAGCGACCACCACAACACCTCATTATCCCAACCACCCCTCTATCCCACCCCGTAATGCCATCATCAAGGTCCTCCTCCTCCTCCTCACTTCCTCCTTCATCCTCGCTCCTCCTTCCGCATCGCCCCTCCTGGCTGCTCCTCGCGCCAGTGCTCAAACCAACTCGGGTTGGTATCGTTAGTGGAGGGTGGCGGGGATACGCGAAACGCCAACGATTCAGCCGCCCTTGAGCGAGATCAGCGTGCTCGCCCAGTCCAGCACACCCTTCCTCATGCTGGACGTGCACCCCGAATCATTGATCTCCTTCTTGTACGACATCACGACCCTGCGCAGCTTCGGCCGCTGCAAACTGAACGTCTTGTAGCTGTGCACCAGCAGCGCAGCGAACTTCGCGGTCAACGCCTTGCCCGCCACACTGGCAGCGGTTGTCGCAGTCTCGGCGTCCACGTCGTAGACGAAGATTTATGCCCACGTTTTGTTGGCCAGCATCGCGTTCTTGACGCGGTCGATCTTCTCCTGGAACGCCGTCCCACCCATGAGCAAGATGGTCTCCTCCACGCGCTGCAAGACCTTTGGCCTGCCAATGCCGTCCTCCAAGTTCTCGTCCCACGGCCGATCGGAACTCTCGGTGCCAACGCAAAACGGCTTGAGCTGCCCGGGCTGCAACACGAGAGCCGCATTCTGGATATCCTTGCGCGTCTCGGCCGCTGTCGCAATCTCGTCCACTGCAAGCTTGCGGTCATGGACAAGCCCCGCAATCCCGCCCACAACGCCAGTGGAATCGATCGCCATGGTCGTACCGCGAAGGTCCTTCACGACGCGGCCCCCGTTGGCATGCATGAGTCGCGAGCGGTCATCCGCCCCCAGCGCCGCCCACTCACTGCGATGCTGAACCAATTGCTCCCAGGACTTCAAAGCCTCGATCACCTTCGAGAGCTGCTTCTTCTTGTCGTCATCCAACCACTCTGACTCGTCGAGCTTCATGAAGATGCTCATGTACGGGGCCACCTCTCTCGGATCCCTGCAGTACTCGGAAACGGTCTCGAACACGACCTTGAAGATGGTGGCAGCACTGTCTTTGTGGGTCTCACCGCCCTTGCCGCCAGCGCTCAGCACAGACTGCATCACGGGGAGTACTTGGTTGCGGCTTTGGGGGTTCACCAGCATCTGGCAAGTCAGTGACGACGCGAGCTGGGCAAGGCCTCTGCTGGCGTTAAACTGGTTGATGTCAAATTCTGTCTTTTCGATCGAGCCCAAAGCTTTCATCCACGTAGTGAGCTTCTCTGGAAGGCTGGTCTTCGCCGTGGAAACCAGCGCCTTCGCCTCGGACAACTTCGCAGTCAGCAGGGCGCCATCCGCACCGTCGATGGATTCGCCAAACGTCATGGTGCTCACGAACTCGTCGACCTTCGCCACAACCTTCTCCTTGAAATTCTCGAACGACCCAGGCCGGCAGTACGTCAATGTTTGGCACCATCTCAAGCGAGGACAGCAGGATGCCTGACTGCACCATCTCGGCGATGGACACATTCGCATCATCTAGCTTCAGCATTGCGTCGACCATCGAGAGGTACAGCTCCTTCGTCTTCACGTAATACTGGTCAAACTCATCCTGTGCAGAAGCCAGCGTCAAACAAGTAAGTGCGATGGCCCGCGCATTTCGAATCTACCGAACAGAACTAGCAAACGGGGCAAGGCAGAAGGTGGGTTGGGCGAGGACGCAAGGGGCACAGCAGGCCAGGGACCCTGTTTCACAAGTAAAGCCGCTGCGGCTCGAGCGTGGGTGGTGCCCCCTAGTGGCACGGACAACGCAAAATCACCACCCCTGCGCGCAACATCAAACGCCGCAGGTCCAGCCCAGGCCCTACTCGGCACCCACCCCCACGATGCCATCTGCATCACCTGCCACCCCTCCCCCTCGTTTGCTACCCCGTGCAGTTTTATGGACACAGCCTTCGCCATAACAAAAACATTGGCGAACTTCAAAGTCAGCTCCTGGATCGCAAACCCGAAATGCACGGACAACCACCCTCTGCCGTTTGACGCAGACTTGCCTTGAGCGCCGTGTAATGCTGCGAGCGCATCACCGACAAAAGCAAGTGGCGCAAGCAATCAGTCCCGACACCTGAGGTCTTGCTGGACTCCGTCATGGACACCAGCGCGTCCTTGTATTCCAACTTGGTGGCGTCGGAGAGGCATAGCGCTGCCTTCAAGTACGTCGTCAACGTCGAGACCAGCTCATCATAGTTCTCACCCTCAGGGCACTTCTCGTCGAGCCAGCCGAGGCAGTCGTTGCAGAACTCGACCATCTTGGGCTGGCCATCCTTGCCCAACTGGATGAAGTAGCTCATCGCCTCCGTGAAGAACCCCTCAGAATTCGAAATCTTGTCCGAAACGCTGCCGTCACAAGTGCACACCCTGGGGCACGTGGGCTTGAACACATGGCTGCCTTCAACTGTGGGATCGGTATCCCATGGCGCGATGTGAAAGAAGAGGGTATTCACATCGAGGTCTGGCGCCTTGATCGTCTCAGTGACCTATGGCGAGGCCGAAGGGCGGGCGACGGCAGACTTTGGCAGCTGGGCTGGGCCGGCAGGGCGGAGTTATACACCGACCTGCGCGCCCGACCAATGCCTGCCGATGGCCCTACCCCAAGCGACACCCGTGGGACCTTCATCTTCAATACGTCCTGCTTCCACTTGCTCGGCATGTCCTCGGCGCCATTCTCAATGTCCTGGAGGAGGCCGACGAGCCTGGTCTTAACCGCGAACGCGATCGGCTTCTCGACGAGACCGCAGATGGCATCGCACACGGTGATGTGGTCCTTGAGCTTGTCGGCGACCTCCAAGTCCGCCGCAGAGGGAGATTGGTCCATGATTTGCTGATGCGACTCCCTGGCCCAGCGAAGCTCACGGCCCATGGCAGTTCCTGTCCAGCACTTGTTCACGTCCAGGGCAGCAATGCGACGCTCGACGAGCTCCTCCACCTCTGACTGCTTGGTCTCTGACAACGCCGACCTGGCGGCGCGAGGCTTCGCCCCTGGGGTCTTCGGCGTGCGCCCACCGCCAGTGAACACTGTCCGAGAGCAAGCCATCGCAATCGGGTTCAGCAGAGGACCAACCGAGGTAGCAGCCGCACCCCCAGGAGCCGCCGAAGCCATAGGGCTACCGCCTGCGCCGACGTCAGCGCTGCCCGACGCATCCTCTGCATTGTGGCGCGCCTTCTCGGCGTCGGCCTTAGACTTCTTGTAGATTTCTGCCTTCGGCGCCAAGGACTCCAGAGTGTGATTCTCTGTGCGCGCCTTCACGCAGATGAGCTTCGCCTTGGGGCCCTGCGCAATTGCCTGAAGCGGATCCACTGCGCCACCACCGCGAACATGTCAGGCAACGCACTCTGATTAAACCGCCGCTCGCCCTGAGCAAATCTATGGATGCTAGAAGTTGAATGCGGTGCAGGGGCTTGAGAGGATGCCAGCAAACAAGCAATGGAATGGGTGCGAAACAGGGCGCCCGAATCGAGCAAGGTAGCCTGCATCGGACACCTATCCCATTCACCTACTAATTTGTTCAGAGCGCGCACAGTCCTGGCGGGGGGGGGACGCGGGGACTGGGAGCAAGGATGAAGGAGAGCGCCGAAGTGCGCTGCCTGACATCATAGCGCAGATGGCCCAACTTTCCGTTGCGCCGAGCCTTCTTCACGTAGGAGTACGTGCCCGAAGACTGAGCCTCGAACAACTGCTGGCTTGGCTGCATCTTGTGCGTGGCCAACTTGGCATACCACTGATTCGTCACGTCGTGCTCCAAATACGGGCGATTCGGGTTCGGAACCATGATGCCCTTGTAAGTGTTCCCGTCCTGGTCGGGCAGGTCCTGCAGCTTGATGCCCATCTTCTCTGGCTCCTCACCGCCGAGCACATCCGAGATCAGCTGCGGGCGGTTCAAGCCGATCATCGGCTTCGCAACGGAGACGATGTACTGCGACCCTTCGTCGACGGTCGCTGGGAAGAACTGTCCGCCCTGGCCGCTCTCAGTCCGCTTGGCCTCCTCCCAGCAGTCGTAGATGTGCGAGTCCTCGTCCTGCACGCCTTGCCGGACGACCTCCAAGGAGCCGAACTGCGTGAAGCCCTTCGAATACCGTTCGAAGCAGCGGGCGCACGATGGCACCGTCGCGCCCCGCATCTGCTGAGATGCGCCGCCGATGCCGCAAAAGCCGCACTCGAACGAGTCGCGCTGGAGCGCTGCCAAGGTGAGAGGCCGACCGCCGCCCCCAGTGGACTCCTCGGCCAGGAGCAGCGGCAGCTGAACTCGCACGCCCGCGGCCGCTGTTCGGCTTCTTCCCCACGGGGTCAGTAGCCTTGCTGGCGCGACCGCGCTTGGCCATGACGAAGTAACCAGAAAGAGGTCAAATCACTGTGCGAATGATGGGCGAATCCACGCGCCTCCGCGCGTGGCGCCAAAACATCTAGAGCCAGACCTGCTCTGGATAAGGCAGGTAGGGCGTGGAACGCCTTGCGGCGTCGCCAAACAGATCGAAGGACGGTGGCCTGCTGTCCAAAGGCTCGTAGGCTGCGCCAGCAGCCGCAAGATGAGGGGTCCCAGGGGCCATCGGGCGAACGACCAACACGCGGCCAGACACGGAGCCACAGGCACTGCGGCCAACCAAAACAACAAACTACTAGGCACCTCGGGCGCCATATAAACGACAACGGTCCGTGAGAGGGGTGTGCCAGACTGAAAGCGGGAACCCACTGGGCCACTCAGATGGTTTCTTCGGGAGACAAACATGCAACTGGTCACGTTTTGAAGCAGGGGGGTGCGTTCTGTCTGCACGCCTGCCCCATGGGCCCATACGGAGGGCGCCGCAAGGTGACGCGGGGGCAGAGGGCGGGGGGGGGAGATTGGGAAAAGTTGAACCTTAGGACGCCGAGGTGACCCCCGATGGCATAATGATGGGCTTGTATTCGGGAAAGTCAACGATCGCTCCAGGCCAAGCGACGTAACAACGACAGAAGACCCCAACACAAGCTCTAGACTTACCCGACCCCCCTAAAGAAAGGACCCTAACACAAACACCTAACATTGGCAATACCAGATATACCGCCCTGGCATACCTTGCCCCCCGCGCTTGCCTGGCCCAGAAGTTATTGGCACACTGGAGTCGGATGGGTGGGGGTCGCAACATGCCATCTCCTATGCCCCCCCCCCCCCCCCCCCATTGCATTCGCGCTGGGAGGGGGAAAACGGAGGTCGGTTTGGGAGGAAACGGGGAAATGCAGAGGAGTTGGAGGGGAGCGAATGAGAAACGTTCTCAATGGGGGGATTGGTTTCGGGGGGGGGGGGGGGGGGGGCGTTGGTATGTTGTGACAGGCAGAAGGGCTTTTGAAACGACGGTGTGATATTATGCCGCTGGTTGGCGCAATGCCTCTGAACACCTGCGCTCTCTCATCGAACATCCTTGGAGTCCGCTTTCGCGCGGCGCACGCCCAAGTTGCATCGGCGAGGCATCGTGGACATCGCAGCTCGGCGTTGGGGATTGCAGCATTGGCCGCAGCAGACGCCAAAGAACGTTCGGACATTATCTTCCGATCCTCACTTGACTTGTTCTCATGCGTCGAATGTGCGCCCGTCTGCTCTTCAACCTCCTCCGCCCCGCCGGGGGCACGCGTAGGTTTCACTCTTAGTAGCCCATCTCTCTCTCTATCTCGCTGGTCGCCTACGCCAGCTCGGAAAACTGGTGCATTCAATGCTTCTTTGCATCCTCACATGCGCCCTCAACCTGCCTCGACTCTCACCGTGCGCACCTCGCATCGGCCTCGAGGTCTTCAAGAAAAGCAGTCTACCGCGCAGCAGGAGGAGGAGGAGAGGACGACGAGGAGGAGAGGGAGAAGAAGAAGGAGGAGGAGCTGGAGGAGGAGGAGGAGGAGGAGGAGGAAGAGGAGAAGGGGGGGGAACCCCGCCTGTTGAAAACGAAGGCTGGCTTGCCTGATGTAGAGGGGGCGCGCAGCACAGCTCGCGCATAACAGACAACATCCCAATTGAGCTCCGCGCCGCATGAGGGGGCGCGGCCCCTGCCCGCCCCGCCCTGCCACCACGAAGGCCCATGGGGGGAGGCGAGAGAGCCTACATAGACACCCAGAGGGCTTGCCAGACCTATGCAGGATGCGACGGCGCAGCTGAGTACGACGACATCACAGGGCCCTGGGACATAAGAACTGGCACGACGAAGGCGAAATGCAAGCTGGGTGGCGAACGGGAGGGAAGTAAAACAGATGAACGCAGCGGCGAAAGACACCGAACAGCGACGACGACAATGGAGACGACGACGATGATGAAGAAAGGAGTGGTGACGATGTGGATGGGACGTCGCTGTCGATGCTCCATCTCGCACTTCTCTTGCGCAAAGGCTGCGCGGCATCTGCCTCGCGTGCCCCTCGCGCGCAGAACACTGCGACATGTTACATGCAGAGCGTCGCTTGACCCGTTCTGGAACGGGCAGTCGAAAGACCGCCAAAAACATTCGTCCGACGGCAGACCGTGTCTCCGTCGACGCTGTGATCCCTGGGGAAGCAGCTGCACCACGATCCCAAAGCCTTTGATACCTCTATTCCACCCTACCCCTTCTCACTGTATCCTGCCCCCCCCTCATCATAGCGCTGCTGCCTAAGAGACCCCCCAGGCTTCACTCTGGGGCGCCCACCTTGTTCAGGTCCTGAAGGAGCAGGCTTGCAGACATGGCCTGCTGACCGAGCTGGGCGAAAATGCACCCTTCCGATGGCTTATCGGCATCTGCGCGCTTGCCGACTGGCGCGCCGCCGACCCCGCTGCCGCGGCTCTCTGGGTCCGCTCGTAAAGCCCAACGGCGAGACTCGGCCGCAGGTGCGCTGGAGGCTCCAGCAGAGCTCGCGCCCTCAGATCTTGAGGGTGTCTCATTCACTGTTGCGACTCCTCCAGCCGTCTTGGCGGGAGTTGCCGTAACGCCGAACGCACCTGAGGACTCTAACAAAGGTGATACCTTCTGAGGCGAATCGTCAACGATGAAACACTCAAGAGACGGATTGTCAGCTCGCTTCCGCTTCGAGGGCCCTGGCGGATCTTTCAAATTCAATGCGTCGGGCACGGCGCCCTCCCCATTGCCAGAGGTAGACCCTCGACAGGGTGGCCAGAGGCAGCGCCCGAGGCCGCCGAGCCACGCCCAGACGCCTCAGGCGCAGAAGGGACCGACGCTTCGGTCTGTGACTGCGGATCGGGGCCATGCTCCTCGTCAGAACAGACAGGGGGTAAGCCGATGCCAGCCTGAGCGTCCCAGAGCGCCCTCTCCGCCGTCCACCCAGACTCAAAGTGCTGGAACCGCTTGTCGCTTAAGGTGAGGCCGGGCTCCGGTAAGCGAATTGGGCCATCTTGTGAAGTTGGCTCGCCACTGTCACCGAGATGTACGTCATCTTTGACTGAGCCTGGATCGGAATCATCATCTAGGGTGCTTGCTGGCTCGGCAACGTGTGATGGCCCCGTGATAGTAACTGTGCACGGTATGCTAGTGTCCAGACGCACCTCCGAGCCCACGGGGCGACTCGGGTCGACAACGATCATGTTGAGAGAGCCAGTGATTTGGACCTCCATGGCACAGCCGCGCCTGGTTACTAAGTGGACTTGCACAAATGCGCGCACACATAAGATGTTGTAACACTTGACCCGAGCGGCTGCCGTCGGAAAACAGAAAAACGGAACAAACGAAATCATCCATACTTACAACGACGTGACGCCAAGCGCAGTGCATATTTTGTGTTTTATGATAACAAGAAGCTGTGGCGATGGAACACAATTTCTAATTCACATAGGGCAATGAAAAACCTCTCGGAGCAGATGGTCGCGCTGATGCGCGCGACAATCGCGAGCTAGTTTTTGGCACAAGTTTCGCAACGGCACATGCCCCAGAGCAGCGTGCTATGGCATCGCTACCGAACCTGACGTGCAAGACCGCGCGTGGATACGCAAAACAAGCCCTATGGAACGCCGCGAAAAGCACCGTGAGGTCCCCACCGCGCGACCAGCAAGTTGCGCACGCGCATGACACAATTGTATGACACCAAGTTAACCACGCGCAAACAACCCGATGTCGCGCCAGCGCGCGCGACGACCTCCCCCAACACCTCCCCCACCCGCGCGCCCGCGCAGCCCGTGAAAAAACCTTGGGCCAGCGCAGCAAAACTCGCAGCACGCATGCCGATGGAACCGAATGGCAATGCCAAGCCCGAACGCATGTGACGTTGGCGACGACAACCACAGCCCCGCGAACGCAAGGCCGCGGCGCTGCGCCACCGCTACCGGCGCCGACCGCACGGCACACGCGCGAAAGCCGCGACCGCGCACGAACCACCCGCGATGGCCGATCCAGCAACGCTAAGTCGCCAGCCGCGCGCCCCGCACCGTTCCTTGACAGCGAACGCGACAACGCGCAAACCCTGCGACCTGAGGCACTGACGCTTCACAACAAAAGCAGACGCCGACAGACTCTGTGCGCCATGCTGAACAAACAGCAGATTCATAATTGCGATGCAACGCGCACTTCCACAAAGCGAATTGCGAGCGACGCAAACACTGCGTAACCCGCTGCCCCTTTAAGCTGGATGCCGAGTGCCTAGCCCAGGCTCGCAAGCTTCGCCTGCCGCGAACGCCGAACCATGCGCCCTGGGAAACGCGCGACACATGCAATGCCATGGGCGCCGCGCTCTCGAAAAAAACGCTGGCGCCAGAACGGCGCGCCCATGACTCAACGGCGCATGGCCCGCAACCCGCGCGGTCGCGACCTTGGCTACGACCTGGCCACGGCGTCGCAATCGAGCGCGACGGCGCTCTCGGCGCTGATGCGAGCATGGACGCGCGCGCTGTAGGCCGCGAGCGCCCCGCGACGCCGTCGGCACAAAGACGCTGCGCCGAGCAGCAGGCGCTGGCGCCCCACGACGCTCGAAACGATCTGGAGACGCGCGCTCGATGCAGCAAGCCGAAGACGGCGCGCGTGGCCCATCCAGGGATGTAATGCGCCATGTCGGAATGCGAACAACGCTTTGGATTGGCCCACGCGCCGTCGGCACCAGGCGCGCCCAAAGCCTAGCGAAAACACGAGCCGATGCACGCGGCGGCCAGCCACGAGCCACTGCGCGTGCCAGCTGCGCAGTTGCCGATCGAACCGAACACGCCGACTTAAACCACGCCGCGCGACCCCTGAGCAACGCGCCCGAAACCAAGCGCCACGGCCACAACGCCATGGCACGCAAGCAGACCGCACTATGCGCGCGACCATGATTAA